GTTTGCCCTCCCCCCTCAATAACCAACAAAGAAATTTCCCTGCCATGTATAAACCTTTCCTTGACTTTTTATAATAGTGGACTAAAACAATATTTGTCCTTCTGTGACAAGTAATTTCACTGAGTATAATGTTATTCAAGTTCATCCACTTTATGGAGTGTTTTGTAGATTATACATTATTTTTCAGAGTTGCATAGTATGTACCAAATACGGTTATCCATTTCTTCATTGATGAGTTGTTTCATTTCTTTGCTATTGTGAATAGTCCTGTGGTGAACACGGGTATGTATGTGTCTGTTATTATCCTGGCTCTCACTTATTTAGGATATATATATAGTAATGGGACTCCTGGATAAAATGCTACTTCTGTTTTCAACTTTTTAAAGAATCAACATGCTGATTTCCACAGTAGTTCTATCATTTTACAGTCCCAGCAGCAGTGTATGAACGTTCCAGTCTCTCCACATCATCACCAATGTGTTATTTTCTCTTGTTGAACTTTGCTCTTAATGCTGAGGTGACATGATATCTCATTGTTGCTTTGATTTGCATCTCTCTAATGGCTAATGATTGTGAACATCTCTTCATGTGTTTGTTGACTGACTGAATATCTTCTTTCGTGAAGTGTCTATTCATGTCTTCTGCCAATTTTTTAATTGGATTGTTTGTCTTTTTAACGTTGAGGTGTAGGTGTTTTCTATAAATTTTAGAGGTAAGTCCCTTGTCAGATATGTCATTGTCGAATATTTTTTTCCATTCTGTAGGTGCTATTTTTACTCTTTGGGAGAAGTCTTTTAATGCACATAAGAATTTAATTTTTAGAGGGTCCCAATCATCTAGTTTATCTTCTGCTGTTTGTGCATTTTGGGTTATGCTTGTTAGTCTATTTATGCCATAAATTAGGGCCCCTAAGTTTGCCCTTACTTTTTCTTTGATGAACTTTATGGTTTCAGTTTCATATTTAAGTCTTCGATCCATATGGAGTAAGTTTTTGTGTATGGTGTGAGGCACAGATCTTGTTCCATTTTTCTACAAATGGATATCCAGTTTTGCCAGCATCATTTGTTAAATAGACTATCTCTACCCCATATAATGGATTTCGACTCTTAGTCAAAGATCAGCTGAGCATAGGTCAGTGGACCTATTTATGGATTCTCAATTCCATTCCACTGGTCTTTGTGTCTGTCATTGTACCAATACCAGGCTGTTTTGACTACTGTGGCTGTATAGATTTTGATATGTAGAAATGTGAGACCTACTACTTTGTTGTTGTTCTTCTTCAGCAGTGTTTTGCTTACCTGAGGTCTCTTTCCTTTCCATATAAAATATGTGATTGCTTTTTCTGTGTCTTTGAAGAATGTTGATGGAATCTGGATCAGGGTTGCATTGAATGTATGGAGTGATTTGGGTAGTATTGACATTTTCATTGTTCAAGCTATCCATGAGCATGGTATGTTCTTCCATTTATGTAGATCTCTTAGAGTTTCTCAAAGCAGTGTTTTGTAGTTTCCTTTGTATAGGTCTTTTGTGTTCCTGGTAAGATTTATTTCCAAGTATTTGATCTTGTTGGAACCTTTTGTAAATGGTATTTATTTATTTTCTTTTCAGAGATGTCCTTGCTCTTGTAAATTCAGCTGATTTTTGTGAGTTGATCTTGTGTCCTGCCACTATGCTAAATCCTTCAATAAGTTCCAGTAGTTTTCTTGCTGAGTCTCTTGGGCTTTTTATGTATAGGATCATATCATCTGTGAATAGAAATAGTTTACTTCTTCTTTACCAATTTGGATGACTTTGATTTTCCTTTCTTGCCTTATTCCTCTGGCTAGGACTTCCAGTACAATGTTGAAGTGAAGATAGAGGGCATCTTTCTGTATTTCCTGTTTGCAAGGGTAATGGTTTCAGTCTTCTACAACCGAGAATAATGTGGCTATTGCTTTTGCTTATATGTTCTGTATTAAGTTGAGGAATCTGCCTTCTATTCCTATTTTTCGTAGAGTTCTTATCAGCAATGGGTTTTATTAAATAGATATTTATTGGATTTTATTAAATACTAGATTCTATTAAATGCCTCTTTTGCATCTTTTGGCATGATTATGGGATTCCTTTCCTTTATTTTACTTACGTGATGGATTATGTTGATTTTTTTTTTTTTTTAAATTTTATTTTGATTTGGGTGAAGATTTACAGAGTAAATTCACTTTTCATACAGCAGTTCACATAATATACTTTGTCTCATGTCATT